CACCGTTCACCTGATTTGGATGTAAATACCCTCAAATTAAAGCTGAAAGTCTGCAGTTAAAGCACATCTTGTTTGTTTTATTTCAAACCCATTGTGTTGGTGTATAGAGCCAAAAAGATTAGAATTGTGTCGATGTCCCAATATTTATGGACCTGACTGTATGTGGCCAGTAAACTATTATAAATTAAACTACTTTTTCATCTGTGGTCTCCTTTGCTGTCTCTCCTCACTCACCCCTATCTTTGCTATCTCATCTTCACAACCCATGTACAAACCCATTCTTTCCTTATACATCATTCTACCCTACTTCCAATTCATAGTCCACTAGTGACTCCCACTTCCCCCCCGATGTTCTTTACGTCCCCTTACTGTTCTTTTTTGTTGTACTTATTTTTGCACTGTATTTACCATGATAATCATCCATCGTATAGGTATTTGATAACTGAATATCCTCTATGCTGAACAAGTCTCTTTTCTGGCTGGTCATCATGGTTAATTTATTTCTCAAACATCTAAATGCCAAGGTTATTCTTCTGTGATATTCAAATATTAAATGAATAGGGACACTCTCGTACACACGTTTTATTTTTAATGTAAATTACTAATATTGTTGTGTGTCTTTGACTTTTCTTAATTTTTTTTTTTGTCTTTCCAGGAATTTGGTACTGGCCTTACCCTTTCTGATCTCCCATTGCATATGCAAAACAATATATTGTGTAGGTTTTCTGATGCCTGGGACATAATCAACTTGGGTCAACTGACCCCAACGTTGCGTGTGCTTACTGAAGACCCCCATCTTTGGAAGAAGCTTTGCAAGTATCATTTTAAAGAAAAAATGGTAGGTTGAATTAACCCTTGGTGAGTGTGCAATCGACCCTCCAGGATAGCAGTGATGAGTAACTTTTAAAGGCACACTATAGTGTCAGGAATACAAGCATGTATTCCTAACACTATAGTCCTGAAGTGACTGTTTAAGTGACCGTCCCTCCCCGCTTCCCGATTGTAGTAAACGCATTATTTTATTCCCCTTTTCTCCCATGCTGCGGCTTAGCCCACATGACTCCACCTCCATGGAACATGGACTCCATCACTGCAGGAACAGGCTAAAGACACCAGAACCACTACATTAAGCTGTATTGATTTTGGTGAATATAGTTTCTCTTTAAGGCCTGGCTTGTAGCTCTGGTGTTATGTTTTCTTACCTAAAGGGAATATTGAATACACCATTTAAACATAATTTATAATGTGTTGAACATGTTACATGACATGCTCCATATTCTATCAAAGCTTTGATAAAGGTATAACAATTTCCATTGCAACGCTGTTTACTCCTGGCATAGCCTTGGCACAAACTGAATTGGAGGAGGAAAAAAAACAAAAACATTACTTCTGTTTCTCCACCTCTATCTGTGCTTATGCATATTTGTTAAATGTAGTGGATAAATAAACTTTATATTAATAATCCCCTTTAATCAATTCTGCATTCATTTCCTTGTTAAATAAGTAAAAGATCTACTCTCTTCTTTCTATTTCTTTAGTTGTGCCATCTAATTGTCTCAGAATCAGGCCACATTGATTGGAAGCTCATGTTTTTTGCACTTCAGAAATATTATCCAAAAAAGGAACAATATGCAGATACACTACAATTTTGTCGTCACTGTAGCATTCTGTTTTGGAAGGTAATTATGTATTTTTAAATATTCCTGAAATTATATATTCCTGAAATGATATAACTTTACACATATTCATTTGATATTTGAACATCAAAATAAGTTATTGCTGTTATATAATTTGTTTTCTTCGTATTAGCAATTGTACTTTCTAAACATTGTCAGGCAGAAAACCACAAAACACTTGTCATAATTTTCCATCCTCTATGCACTGTGATTCACTATTTTCAATATATATAAGTTCCAATTGCTTGCACTCCAGGATAGGGAGTTAGAGCCCGGTGCTTAACAGCCAAATAATAGAAATGTAGTAATGATAGCACTCCAAGGACTTCAAAGAAATATATTGTGAAAAAAACTTAGCTTTTATTCAGGCATCTGCCAGTAGTAGATCAACGTTTCATTTCTCTAATGGAACTTTCGTCAGGATATATATATATTGATTTTCTCACCCCTCCTGGGTGGTATGTTATATTCCCCATTCTCGGGTCCTCTACCAGAGGCCTGGGAGTTTGAGTGTTCTGCGCAGTATCTTAGCTGTTCCTAGAATGCACTCTTCTGGACAGCGATCTCAGATGTCCCACCTGGAATCTGCTGAAGCCACTCCCCCAACTTGGGAATTACAGGCCTGAGTGCTCCTATCACAACTGGGATTACTACTGCCTTCACTTTCCATATCTTTTCTAGCTCTTCTTACCTATATAGGAACTATGGATGAATAAGTGTGTATATGTATGTATATATGTGTGTGTGTGTGTGTGTGTGTGTGTGTGTGTGTATATATATATATATATATATATATATATATATATATATATATATATATATATATATATATATATATATATAATTTTACTATTGAATAAGAATAAATACCAAATTCCTCTGTTCAAAACAGACTAAAAGGAAGACAATTGCGCTGCCAGGTTACCAATATGCCCTGTTATCTGTATACTAAAGAGTACATAGTACAATAATTAAATCAGTCATTTCATAAACAAGCACACAATCGTAAATAACACATATTATAGTTTACCTGCAGAAAATATTAATCTGAGCCTAAAAGCTAGCTGAGCATCATGGGAAATGTAGTCCAGAAACAATTTATGGTGTCAAGGTTAGCCATCACTGGTATAGAACATACTTCCAAAAGCATATGTAAGATTGTGTGTATTGCGGTCTCAGCCACTTTTTCATCTTACGCATATGTCAGCTGGTACATCACTTGTTCCCAATCAGGCACAGTCAGCTCCATGGACAGTGTCCTGTGTGTTCCGAAATTACATCTCAAAGCGCCTACGCAGTTCACGAGCACACGCTCACTTAGTCAAAGTTAAAAATGTCCTGTTGACACCTCTGCCTTTACCTTAAATGACAGATGTGTTTACTAAATGCAAAGGTTTTGTGAGACCTTCAGTAAAAGTGAAAAGAACCAAAAAGTTAGTCTAGAAATCCACATCAGAAACCGTAACATTTCTCTCATTTGTTCTTTTATATTTCCACTTCTTTCCCCTTTTTAAAAGGATTTCCAGCTTGCTCTCTTATTTAAGGTATTTGCTGCATGCTTGCATCCAGATTTTTCCATATGTTTTCGTGTTTTTTTATTAGAGGATTTTAAAAAAATGTTTTTCTTTCCTCTTGAAATATTTTTTACTCCGTCTGTGTGTGTGTGTGTGGTTTTGTACATACATATGCTTTCTTTTATATTTCGTGTTTCCATTAATAAACATTAAACTGCATGTTTTCGTAAACTGTATTGTTTTCCTGGAAAATGTGCATAACTGTAAAAAAGAGAAAAACAGAGAGAACTCTGGTTAAAGAACCAATTGCAGTAACTTTTCATACCACGTTATTTTCTCGGCTAAGCCAGTTTGTTTTCATCTTTGTAAGGTCTACCTAATACCGTTATGAAAATTCTACTAATCCGCTCTTGTTAAAGGGAGAACTCAAAGTGTATTTTAAATTGTTTACCAAAAGAGCAGAAGTGAAAGCGTAGCTGCCTTGAAGAATGCTGCCAATTGATCTCTTTGTACTTTAAATTTGAAATTCACACAAAGATTTTCACTTTAGTAAATCATGTGGTACATGGTTCTTGGGCTTGCTGCTTTTCTTCACTCTCAATCACCACTCTGGCAGAACTTGGCCAGCCGCTCATTGGCTTCCAGACTTTCCAGCACTGCAAGAGTTTGTAAATACACTACTGGAAGTTTAAATCTGTTTGCATACAGAGTAGGTAGACTGGGATGCATTCCATTGCATCATTACATCATAAAGAATAAAGACACTCCAGACATACACATATTGTGCAATCTGTAGGTCATGTTATTTGCATTGCTGGGTTTTTTTTCTTTTTTTTTTTCTCAGTCTTTTTTTAAATTTTTCATTTCTAGATGCTAATTACTACAAATTGTTTTTGCTCAATTGACTTACTTTTTTGCCCCTTCTCTCCCAACCCGTAGTGTACCACAGCTGATGTACACAGTGCCATTTAGGTTTTACTGTGTGGTAGTTCATATGTTCAATGTTCTAGAAGAGAAAGTTTGAAATTGAACTAAAACTCATAGAAACCATTGCTGTGCCCGTTTACCTTCATTACTTATGGTAGATGCTTAGTAGTGCTATCAAAAATATGTTAAATCTCTATCATTTTCTGGTTTAGTGAGAGCTCACTGCAAATTCTGCACAGTCTAAAATACTGAGAAAATACTGGAACTGTTTTTTTTTTTTTCTTTATAATATTTTATATTTGTAATGCATTAAAAAATTGTGTCAAATCCAGTGAGGAGTGTCTCTTAAAATCTCTACTAGAAAGTCTTTCCCTTTTTTACAAATTTCTCTCCAATCTTAATGTCTGCTTACATAATTCCCTATCTGCCCATCTTAGTCTTCTTAAAGGGACACTATAGTCACCTGAACAACTTTAGCTTAATGAAGCAGTTTTGGTGTATAGAACATGCCCCAGCAGCCTCACTGCTCAATCCTCTGCCATTTAGGAGTTAAATCCCTTTGTTTATGAACCCTAGTCACACCTCCCTGCATGTGATTTGCACAGCATTCCATAAACACTTCCTGTAAAGAGAGCCCTGTTTAGGCTTTCTTTATTGCAAGTTCTGTTTAATTAAGATTTTCTTATCCCCTGCTATGTTAATAGCTTGCTAGACCCTGCAAGAGCCTCCTGTATGTGATTAAAGTTCAATTTAGAGATTGAGATACACTTCTTTAAGGTAAATTACATCTGTTTTAAAGTGAAACCAGTTTTTTTTTTTCATGCAGGCTGTCAATCAAAGCCAGGGGAGGTGTGGCTAGGGCTGCATAAACAGAAACAAAGTGATTTAACTCCTAAATGACAGTGAATTGAGCAGTGAAATTGCAAGGGAATGATCTATACACTAAAACTGCTTTATTTAGCTAAAGTAATTTAGGTGACTATAGTGTTCCTTTAATTCTCAATTAGCTTATTACATTTATTTTTTTAGGAAATATAGCTTCAGCTATAAATTGCAGTAGCTATAGCGTAAAAAATTAAATGTTGTTACCTTTTAAGCTATACATCTTTACTCCTACGTCACCAGCTGTAAAAACTACAATATGGAGACAATGGGCAGCTGCACATGGCATACCTGATCTCCTAGCATGCACATGGGTGGCAGTAGTTATCTGATGGGTGTTAGTAAGTTTTGTGGGGGACAGGGTGGCTGTGCAAGCTATATTGCCCTGTCCTTTCCCAATGAAACTGTTTTAGTAGCAGATCACTTTGAGGCCTGACTAGTATTGCATGTTAAATGTTGAGCCCTGGTTAATCCTATGAGTGTACTGCTGCAGTGTTTACAATCCGAAATGTATTTATGTTTTGTTTTTTCTGCTTTGTTAGGATTCTGGACACCCCTGCACTGCCAATGACCCAGGGAGCTGCTTTGTACCCATTTCCCCTCAGCACTTTATTGATCTCTTCAGATTTTAAAAAGCTCTAAACGCCTACCATGGCTCATGTAATGTAAAGGTATTGCCCAATCAATTGTGTTATTGGACGTAAAATGTATTTGTGATTTTAATTATGTAGTGCTTTGATTGCATAAAAGAATGTTATCATCGTTGATAGTGTAGTGTGACCCCATAAATACTATAGGGGTTAGTAACATGGCTGCGCATTACGAGACTCTTAGTACAATGCAGATTTTGGTATAGCCTTTGTCTGCTAATGGATTCAGATTATGGTACTTAATTTCAATTTATGGAACCTGTGTTCTGATCAGTGAACAAGACCAAACTATTTTTTACTGTTTGACCATTGAAGTAAGTTTACTGCAGCATACTTTGTACTTCTTACAATTATCTAATCTGTGATGACACTAAATATTTTAAAAATGCATATACTTGCATGTATTTATGTTAAATATTCATTCACGTTTTTCACTTTTAGCAAAACAAATATTATTCACATAGGGTTTTTTTTTTGTTTCTTTTTTACTTAATGGAAATTAGTGGAGCAATGACTAGGGAAATTTAAAGGTGGTTGAAGGGCTTAGTACAAACATCCCAGTACAAGACATAACATTATGATCTGCATTAGCAGTACTTTCCTCTGAGCTGGTTTATAGTCGGTACCTTAGAACAACTCCCCAACCTCTGACCTTTCTCCCTTTGCCCCACTATAACTGTCCCCCTTCTTTTCAGTCCTTTTGACACCCCTTTCCTCACCCCAGACCCTGAGTTGGCTATGCAGGCCCTTCCTTACCTTTGATATTTTATGGTAGAGTTTTCTTCCGTCTGGGATAATGTATTTTTTCAACATTAAAACTTTCGTTTTTTTCACATTATATAATTGTCACTGGGACACTTGTTTCAGTTAATGCTGAAAACAGAAAAGAAAAACCACACTACTTTTTTAATCCAAGGTGCCCCAACCTGAACTTGAGGTTGGCAAATCCTCAGACATACAATGACCAAAGGATGGTCCAGGCACTCAGGGTAAAGTGACAGGCAGATTTATTGAAGAGGCACAGCAACGTTTCAACATCAGCTGAGTTTTTAATCAAGCTGCCACCATAACAGATAGATACAAATAACTAAATTGATATCAATAAATATTTATTATTATATTTATTGTCATCAATTTAGTTAATTGTTTGCTCTATATACATTGTATTATGCATTACGGTGGTATCTTGATAAAGTCCTCAGTTGGGTTTGAAAGGTTGCTGTGTCTTTTTAATAAATATGCTTCTTTCAGGAAAGACCATCAGGGTTATTTACTAACGTGACAATTCAAAGCGAATTTAAAATTTAAGACCAGAGAAGGCGAACTGAAAGGATAGCTGACTTAGAGAATTTTTCTGGTTTGGCTATTTTGACCTTAAATTTGAAACTCACTTGGAATTCATCTTGAATTCTCACTTTAGTGAATAATTCTGCCAATTAAAAGAGAATGGATTCACAGCAATTTATTCATTCTATTTTCTTTTAGGAAATTATAGCTCTTTTAATTTCGTTTTTAAATCTCCACAATTCCTGGTTTTGGGAACAAACCATATATATTTATTCACATTATTCAAACACCACGTTAATAATAATAATATACTTAAGCACTTTAGTTTAAATACTAAAAGGTTAGTTCATATGCCACAGAGTGGATTATGTATATATTGTTTTCAGCACAGTACTTAAGCAAGCCACATTACACATCACGATTTTCAGTAAACAAAATCATTTTTCAGTTCCATAGACTGTACTTCGGCCATTAAGGCAGAATCTGATTGTTTCATTTCTGCAGACAATGACAAAGGTAATTCTCCTTTGGTTTCCACACTATTAATATCAATATTTTAGATATCAATTTCTCATACCTCTCTGAATGCTTACCAACAATAGGAGGCATAGATCCCACAATCCAGATGGGCAGGCTACCGTGGGGCAACAGTAAGGGTCAGGACTGCCCTGTAATAGAGTGAACTCACACGAAAAAGGGGTGTGCAATGCTAAAACTATTTACTGTTTTGTAACATGTTTTTTTTTAAATCCATACATTTGTCAATCAGAAATGCTACAGGGAACACATAACTTTATCACTATCTGTTTTATTGTCGGTACATTTGCTGTCACTAAAGAATATCAGGAAACTAATTAAGGAAAACAATATTGAAAAATATTGTGCTGTTTGTTTATTAGCATTTTGCGCTATGATTTGTTTATTTTATTTTTGGGAGATACCGTTTTTTTGTCTAATGGTATTGTAAACATTTTACATTTTGGCTGATGCTGCTCTGATTGTTCGATTTTAATGGTACTTTTCATTTGCACGTGATCTTATGAATAATTGCACCTCGTTGTAGAAATCACATTTAAAGTGTTCGTATCTGCTATTCGTATTCTTTCGTTTACATAGGTTTAAGATTTTCAAAACATTATTTTTGCTCTGGCTGTAACAACTCAATTGATTGCTGCTCTCACTCTTTTGAGCCACAAAGGAGCCCATACTTTGCATATTATACACAGCATTATTCTGTGCTGCTTCATTCCCTCAATATGCAAGCAAGAACCAAGATTCTAAGTGTGCACGTGATTTTTTCTTCAGATTTGCTTTGAACAAATCTGGGGATTTTGTTTGTTTTTTGGGTCAAGTCTTTTTTCAGTGTGTCATACAAAACCATTACATATATACATTTTGTATTGAAAAAAAATATATGAACTTCTCATGAATCATAACACCACTGTATTGTCTAAAACTTCAAAGCGAAAAAGAGACAATTTGACAGGAAGGGGGAAGCATATAGATTTTGGCCATATTTGCCCACTGTTGCTTGCGGCATTCATTTACTTTATTAGAGAACATTATTTTATGGAAGCTGCAAAGGTTAATGAATTAAACCACCCAAAGAGGCACACTTTGTATATGTGTGATATTGTGTATAATTCCCAGATTTTACTATTAACATGACGTAAAGTCATGATTTTATTAAAGACACGGAGGCGAGTATTATGCATATCTCTTTCTTTATTACTCTCAGCAGCAAAGAAATAGAGATAAATAAATAACTGAAAGAACAAAAAAAAAAATACAGTGTTCAAGTAACCAATCACATAACAGAGGAAGTGACTATAAAATACTTGAAGCACCCACAATCCCCCTCTTTCTTGCGGATAACGAAGACCAAATACAGAACATCCAACTTCGACTAACGTAGCCAACCGCAGCTCCAATATGGCAAATCACGAAGAATTCAGGCTAAAGGAGACACAGAAAAAAGAAGGTAATAACTGGACTCCAACTGTATGTGCATAACTATAATAAATAACACAGTACGTCAAACCCAAACTCTACACACCCAAACACGGTAATACAGCTATAGGGAGCATAAATGTAACCCCAATACATAGAAACGTCAGATACAACACATACAATCAAAACGTCTAAAAAAACGAATATATCATACTTACCCACCATACCAGCCAATGCCCAACCCCAACCGGGTGGGTGGGTGGGAATAATACTCACCTCCGTGTCTTTAATAAAATCATGACTTTACGTCATGTTAATAATAAAATCTGGGAATTTTATTAAAGACACGGAGGCTCCTATTATGCAAGTTTAAAGCTTAGAAACCACTTGAGATGCAAAATGGTCAATCGGCCTGAAGTAGAAATCACGAAAGGTCGATTCCCGTGACCAATCCGCCGCACGTAGAATATCTTCTAGGCGGCAGCCCATAGCCGCCGCCTTGGAGGCCATAGCTCCGCGGACTGAATGAGGGGTGAATCTAGACGTATCGATCCTGGCCAGAGATAACAATTCCCGAACCCATCTCGCCAACGTAGGTGTAGACACCGGAAGGTGTGGGGCTCGAAGCGAGATGAACAAGGGGCATAGCTCCGGGGATCGCAACGGTCGAGTAACCTCGAGGTAGGCCTGAAGGCATTCGACTGGACAGATAGCCGGGTTTCCCTGGAATCTAGGGTAAACAAACACCTTCAAAGCCGACTTCGTTCTCCTGGATATGTTAAAGGAGATGCCCTCCGGAGTGAACGCAATGGCATTCCAGTCCAGTGCCCGAACATCCGACACCCTCTTGCAAGAGATAAGGCATAGCAACATGACCACCTTCACTGACAGCTGTTTCAGTGTGAGATCCTGATTTGGATACCAAGCCGACAAGAATTGAAGGACCACATTCACGTCCCAGAAGGCAGTGAATCTCGCACGGGGCGGTCTGATGAGACGGATCCCCTTGAGCAGTCGGCATACAAAGGGGTGACGTCCTACGGGCGAACCATCCAAGCCTTGGTGTCCGGCTGATATAGCGGATCGGCATAGATTAATAGTGCGGTACGCCTTCCCAGATTCAAACATCTCAGTAAGGAATTCCATGATCACATGTAAAGGGGCAGATATGGGATCCACTGACCGTTCCACGCACCAACTAGACCATATTCTCCAGGCGGATCGGTACGCCACTCGAGTACCTGGTGCCCATGCGTTGTCAAGGAGGTCGAGAGTTGATTGCGGAACCCCTGTGATAGACCAGGGTCCCCTGAAAGAGGCCATGCGATCAGGTGTAGGAGGCCGCGCTCCACCAACTCGTGCGAGTTGCCATCCGGATCCCTCAGGAGATTCGGGAAGGTCGGTATCAGGCGTGGGTAATCCGCTGTCAGTTCCAGCAGCCGAGGGAACCAAGGCCGAGACCGCCATAGTGGTTGATCAGTACCAACGAGCCGCCGTGTTGCGTCAGTTTCGACAGCGTGCGAGTGTGGCAGAAGCAGCCACAAGAGACTGTACCTGCATTATTATTGCGTTGTATTTGTCCTAATAATCGCTGAATACCTGGTATGCGAACCGCTGGAAAGTGCCGAATGCACGACCACCCTGCTGTGGTCGTGTGCTTCCCCTGTATAGAGGGAAACAATGTTGCCAGAGAGGTAATTGGGTTCGTGGGTGGCCGCCGTTCGCACAAAACCCACGTGGCGGCGGCCATCTTAACTGCCGAACAGCGGTGTCTGGTCGTCGAGCGCCTGGAACTAAAACCGGGCGCTCGACTACCCAGACACCGCTCAGACCTCCAGGACCACGGAACTGCCCAATTCAAACTGCCGAACGGCCCGCCGTTCGGTAGGATGAATCCCCCAGACTAGGGGATTCATCCGAACCTAAGATTAGAGCCGGATGGCTGAACATTCGGTACTTTCAGTTCAGTGTAATAGACCGACCGCAGGGCCAGAATCCATGGAGCTGTTTTCGGCTACCAAATCCCTGCGGTCGGTCAAATCTTTGAATGTCTGTAACTCCCGAACCCCTGGTCTGATCTGGGTGAAATTTGAGTATGTTGCTCACCCAGACCAGACCAACCAGGGGACCCCTCATTTGTCACCGTACCCCCTGTATTTAGGGGACATCCAGAAATGGGGGAAAACTCTGTTCCCACTAATGAGCTTAACTGTTAATCTAAGGGGAGGAGAGGGAGAGGAGGTAACCACGATGTGATTGGATATGTTAAGTTACCTCCCTTGCATGGGAAAAAGTCATAAAAGCAAATGTGTGAATAAACCTGGCAGTTGACCTCCAAGCTATGTGTCGTCTAGTTCTTGGAGGGAAGGGATTGTAACTACGCTACCTGTTTTGTACCTGTCTTGGATTGCTGTTCCTGTCTACCAGTGGAGCTACCTTGGATAATACCTCTACTCCGCTACAATTGGTGGCAAGCGACGGGATCGTACTACACAGCAAAAAGGAGTCAGCAGGAATTAAAAAGGACTGAATGGAAACGGATTATACCCTCTTAAAACGGGACACGCTAAGAGAGCTACTAGAAGCGAGAGGGAGGATAGCAAGCAACAAAACAAAGGCTATCCTAATCGCAGAACTCATGGAAGGAGACAGAGTCGCAGCTGCTGCAGCACCTCCAAGGGAGGAGGAATCTGAGTTTGCCAGGGAATATAGGTGCAGGATGGCTCTATTCCCACCAGACATAGCAGCGCAGAAGGCAGACCAGATTTACAATGATGTACAGGCATACATCATGCTGCGAACGACACCGAGGAACCAACAAGAGGGGGAAGGAATCGCAACGGCTGTCCCCACCCCGCCAGCAAAAGCTAAAATACCGTATCAGGCATTTAAAGCATTTAATGATACCGAGGGGGACATTGATGGCTATTTACAGGACTTTGAACGGTTGTGCCAGCTACATGCCATTAGCACCGAAGACCAAGTGCCCCTGCTAGCGGGTAACCTGTCAGGCCGCGCCGCAGATGCCTACCGAGCCATGCCGGCAGAGGACATCCGGGACTATCAGAAGGTAAAACAAACCTTGCTCGCACGATATGCCATTACACCTGAGGCATACCGAATACAGTTCCGGAAACTACTCAAACCGGGAAAAGACTCGCATGCAGAATTCGCACACCGACTACAACGGGCAGCCACCGGGTGGATAGAGGCAGCAAAAGCCATCACGTCCCAAGAGATCACGCAGTTGATGGTGCTGGAACAATTCTACCAATGTTTGTCAGAAGATCTACAGATCTGGGTAAGAGATCGTAAACCCCGCACGCTGCAAGAGGCCGCTAAGTTAGCAGATGAGCATCAGGACACCCGGCGGGAACAGCACTCATCTACTAGAGTGCAATCCACGCCAAACGTTCCCCGACTTACCCCAGTAGATTCACCCCGACCAGGGGGGACCTACCAGTCACAACCCCCCCGGTACAACAACAGGGCATCTATCCGGTGCCATACCTGTAACCAGCTTGGGCATATGCAACGAGACTGTCCCCGAAACCGGGCCAGGCCGGCCTGGACCCCTCCACGACCACCAACCACCCCTGGAGCCGCAGTCCACTGCTATCAGGCCAGAGCATTGGCTCAACCTTTCACCCCTACCCAAATAGAGGAACCCTTGGGCACCCTCCATGAGGTAAACCCGGTACAGGCGGCATCCGACAAGTGGTCCACGTGGAGGGAAAGCGGATGGAGGGATTACGAGATTCTGGGGCCACCATCACTCTGATACGGAATCATTTAGTGGCCCCGAACCATCTCACTGGAGACTGTATTGCGGTTAGGGTGGCAGGGGGAGCCATTTACAAAGTACCCACTGCGAAACTACATTTGGACTGGGGAGCGGGGGCAGGGCAAATTGAAGTGGGGATGATGCAGGACCTACCTGCGGATGTGATTTTGGGGAACGACTTGGGGGAGCTAACCTCCGCTTTTGTTACCCGACCTCCTCCACAGGAGGCATACCCGGTCGTCACCCGTCAACAGGCTCGCACCACGGCACCACACATCGACTCTGAGGCTCCGGTAAGCCCGAACCCCCCTGATCACACTGTGTTACCCTGGGCCGGTATCAGGCGTGGGTAATCCGCTGTCAGTTCCAGCAGCCGAGGGAACCAAGGCCGAGACCGCCATAGTGGTGTGATCAGTACCAACGAGCCGCCGTGTTGCGTCAGTTTCGACAGCGTGCGAGTGTGGCAGAAGCAGCCACAAGAGACTGTACCTGCATTATTATTGCGTTGTATTTGTCCTAATAATCGCTGAATACCTGGTATGCGAACCGCTGGAAAGTGCCGAATGCACGACCACCCTGCTGTGGTCGTGTGCTTCCCCTGTATAGAGGGAAACAATGTTGCCAGAGAGGTAATTGGGTTCGTGGGTGGCCGCCGTTCGCACAAAACCCACGTGGCGGCGGCCATCTTAACTGCCGAACAGCGGTGTCTGGTCGTCGAGCGCCTGGAACTAAAACCGGGCGCTCGACTACCCAGACACCGCTCAGACCTCCAGGACCACGGAACTGCCCGATTCAAACTGCCGAACGGCCCGCCGTTCGGTAGGATGAATCCCCCAGACTAGGGGATTCATCCGAACCTAAGATTAGAGCCGGATGGCTGAACATTCGGTACTTTCAGTTCAGTGTAATAGACCGACCGCAGGGCCAGAATCCATGGAGCTGTTTTCGGCTACCAAATCCCTGCGGTCGGTCAAATCTTTGAATGTCTGTAACTCCCAAACCCCTGGTCTGATCTGGGTGAAATTTGAGTATGTTGCTCACCCAGACCAGACCAACCAGGGGACCCCTCATTTGTCACCGTACCCCCTGTATTTAGGGGACATCCAGAAATGGGGGAAAACTCTGTTCCCACTAATGAGCTTAACTGGTAATCTAAGGGGAGGAGAGGGAGAGGAGGTAACCACGATGTGATTGGATATGTTAAGTTACCTCCCTTGCATGGGAAAAGGACATAAAAGCAAATGTGTGAATAAACCTGGCAGTTGACCTCCAAGCTATGTGTCGTCTAGTTCTTGGAGGGAAGGGATTGTAACTACGCTACCTGTTTTGTACCTGTCTTGGATTGCTGTTCCTGTCTACCAGTGGAGCTACCTTGGATAATACCTCTACTCCGCTACAGCGAGCTATCATATTGAACGGGGGAAAAGCGTAGAGCCGAGTCTGCGGCCAGTCTTGAAGGAACGCATCCGTTGCTACTGCCGCCGGATCCGGTCTCCAACTGAAGAACTTGGGTACTTGCAAGTTGAGACGGGACGCGAAAAGGTCCACGTCGAATGGGCCCCAAATGTGGTCCAGACCCTGGAAGGCCGTAGCATGCAAGCGCCAATCTCCAGAATCTCTCAAATAGCGTGAGTTACAATCGGCCGTTGAGTTGTCCAGACCCGGAATATGTTCCGCCTGCACGGAAATGTTGTTGCGAAGGCAGAATTGCCAGAAGTCCTTCGCCATGAGAGCTAACATGCGCGATTTCGTGCCTCCCAGGTGATTGATGTATCGGACCGCTGATACATTGTCCATCTTGAGCATCACGCAACAATTCGCCCGTTCCGGCGTGAGGCTGCGAATAGCGAATGCACCTGCCAATAGTTCCAGGCAGTTGATATGGAGTGTTCGTTCCTGATTCGACCATCTGCCTCCGGTAGATGCGGCACCACAACGCGCGCCCCAGCCGTGTAAGCTGGCATCTGACTCTATCACGATGTCCGGGACAGAACCGAATATGGCTCTCCCGTTCCAGGCGTCCATGTGGGCCAGCCACCAGGTCAGCTCGTCTCTGGACTCGTCGTCGAGTCTCACTCTCTGTTCGTAAGAGTGGCCGGCACGTAGGTGAGAGCCTTTTAAGCGTTGAAGGGCCCGGTAATGGAGAGGGCCAGGGAAAATTGCTTGTATTGAGGCGGCCAGGAGGCCGATCACCCTCGCCAGATGTCGGATAGAGATGTCGTCTGCACGTAGTGTACGTCTGATTTCCTTCTTGATCGCCTTTGTCTTGGATTCCGGAAGGAACAGGAATTGTTGGACGGAGTCCACTGTAAACCCCAGAAATTCCAGCGTTTGGGTGGGGTCTAATACCGACTTCTCCCAATTGATGAGAAAGCCTAGGTTCTGGAGTAAGGACGTAGTCCATGATACATGAATCGTCAGTAATTCTCTTGACTGGGCCATCAGCAAGATGTCGTCCAAATAGATGATCAGACGTACACCGCGACTCCGAAGGAAGGATACCACAGGTTTCATGACCTTGGTGAAGCACCAGGGGGCCGAGGAGAGACCGAATGGCAGACAGGTAAACTTCCAGCGCTTTCCCTTCCAGGTGAAATGGAGGAAATCTCTGTGGGCCGAGGTTATAGGCACCGTAAAATAGGCGTCCTTGAGGTCTAGTTTGGCCAACCAGTCGGACTCCTGAAGGAGGTCTCGAAGGCAATGGATGCCCTCCATCTGGAAATGGCGATACTGGAGAAAAGCATTGAGGGGGCGGAGGTTGATGACCGGACGCACACCCCCACCTTTCTTCGGGACTAGAAACAGGTTGCTTGTAAAGCCCTGTTGAGTAAACGGGACCTCTTGTATTGCACCTTTGGTGCGTAGTTCCATGATCTCCGAAGAGATCAATTCTTCCTGCTCTCGAGCTAGCGAGAGTTCCCTGGGGACAAAAGTTTGAACAGGAAAAGACACAAAATCTATGTGGTAACCCTTCACTGTTTGAAGAACCCAAGCATCTGCCGTCAGGGCCACCCATGCCTCGTAAAACTGGGCCAATCTGCCCGCCACCCGCTCTCGTGTATGATGGACAAAAGGGGTACTCACCATAAGGGCGTCTGCCTGATGAGGCACCTCTCGGGTAGCGGGGATTCCAGGACCTCCCTCTGGATGGGAAGAACGGAGCCGGTCTGGGCTCTTGGAAGTTTCTGGTAGGGAAAAAGGAGCCTCGCTGAGCTCGATACGAACCCCGGAATCCGCGGCCGGGTGGACGGCTCCTGTTGCGCCCGGCCCCTCCAAAAACTCTAGGGGAAAACACCCTCTTCATATTAGCCTGGGCCTTTCAATGGCTGTGAAGGTTTTAACGTAAGACCCCAGGTCTCTTACGAAATTATCTCCAAAGAGCATCCCCTCAGCCGAGGGACCAGGTTCGGAGACGGCCATGGTAGCCAATTTAGGATCAATCTTAAGCAGGATTGCCTTCCTGCGCTCAGCGGAGACGGCCATATTAGCATTGCCTAGTAGGCAAATGGCACGTTGCACCCAACCGATCGCTACATCAATATCAAGCTCCGCGTCACCCGCCTTGGCGGCTTCCAAAACTTCATAGGCCTTAGACAGAGGGCCAATGGTGTCCATAATCTTGTCTTGACAATGTCTCAGGGAAAAATCAAGGCCCTTCTTTTGCTTCCAGCCTGATTTGTTGAGGAACTGGGCAATCTGAGGATCGACCTCTGGCGTCTTACACGCCGATCCTGGGACCGAAGGTCTAGGACATTCAGCCCGTAGCTTACTGCGACTCTCCCTAAAGAGTGGCGTACGCATCCTAAGCGCGATATATTGGGCGATATGCTCAGGGGGTTCCCACTCAGCGGAACGAGGATGGCGCAAGTCATCCGGATCAAACAGGGGGTTACCCTGCGGATCCAGAATCCCCACGTCGCCACTCGCCCTCTGGGCAGTAACACCCCCGGCAGGGAAAGCGCCCCCAGTACGGGGTGCTACGGCAGGGGGAGCTCCCTCCTCCGAGCCGGCTTCTTCATCAGAAGCATAGTTTAGTTCCTCATACTCCTCCTCCTCACTCCGGTCGCTCTCTGACCTTTCATCACGGGATCTAGCCCGTTTCCATAACCTGGCCGTTTTTGCCCGACCAGAGGCTCTTTTGCGCGGTGGGAGCGCGCCATCTGTGACTGCCTCAGGCGAGTCCGTCAAGGCAGGTAAAACCTGCGTTATGGAGTGGGAAGAGAGATGTTTGGCCTTCACCTTGGCCTTACGGGCACCAGGTGGGGTAACAGGAGTAGGGTCCGTACCCAGTAGGGTAGGATTAGCCACCTGGGGCAGCAAAAGAGACTGTGCTAGAGTCTGGGAAAAGGAGGAGGACATAGCCCCCATAGCAGAGGCGAGCGCTCTCTGGAGAGAGGACGCCATAGTGGAGTCCATCAGAGCCTGGAACTCCTCAGAAATAACCTGACCCTCAGGTAATTCCTGATGGAAGTCAGTAACGCGGCCCTCAGGGCCATCACCCTTATCCTGCATGACTACAGGAAAGGGTTAAACAGTAGGAGTAAAAATACGACAATCAGATCTGAAATCAAAACGAAAAATGGCAGATAAGTATATAGGAAAATAATGGCAGAATTAGGGTTTAATAACCCAAAGGGACAGGAACAGAACAGGGTTAAAGATAGCCACAAGAAAAGACAGAACAGAAACATAAGCACATGGAAATCAAAA